AGAGAAGTTTTTGGTTTGAATTGTGAAATTGAGGAACAAAATGTCAAAGTAAAGGCTCGGGTTAGTCCTAATGTGCATACTTTTAATACATTAATGGTGTGTTTCTATCAAGATGGGTTGGTGGGGCGGGCAAAGGAGATATGGGATCAATTAGCTGATTCAAATTCAATTCCAAACAGCTACAGTTATAGTATTTTGATGGCAGTTTTATGCGAAGAGAAAAGGATGGGTGAAGCAGAGGAGTTGTGGGAAGAAATGAAAATGAAAAAGTTGGAGATTGATGCTGTAGCTTACAATACTATAATTGGTGGATTTTGTAAAGCAGGAAACATTCGTAGAGCTGAAGAGTTTTTTAGGGAAATGGAGCTCTGTGGAACGGAGAGTACTTTCTCCACCTTTGAGCATCTCATCAATGGCTATTGTGAGACTGGAGATGTTGATTCTGCATTACTTGTGTATAAGGATATGCGCAGGAAATCTTTTAGTCTCAACCATTTGATGCTGGAAGCAATGACTAGAGGGTTGTGTGCAGAGACGAGGCTTTTAGAAGCTTTAGACATTTTCGGTTTCGCCACAGAAGACGCTAACATTTGCCCGACAATGGAGACTTATGAACTTTTGATAAATGGTTTGTGTCAGGAAGGGAAACTTGAAGCTGCATTTAAGCTTCAAGCGCAGATGGTAGGGAAAGGTTTTAAGCCAAATTCAAAGATTTACCAATCGTTTATTGATGCCTATTCAAAAGAAGGAAATGAAGAAATGGTCAAGAAGTTGAGAGAGGAAATACTTGAAATCCAGCTGAGTTGAGACTGCAACCACATGATCAGAACGAAGTTTCTATGAACTCTAGAGGTTAGTTGAACTTATTTCTGATCAATTCTTCAAAAGGCATTTCATGTATTATTTTGATCATGTTTTCTGAATTCTGAGCATAAGTTAGTTTAGAAAATCGTTAATGTTCTTGGAATCAGTTCAAGGTAAATCCACATTTTGTGGTGGTTTCATGAGATTTTTTTCATAAATCCAAAGCTTTTTATGGCACAAAATCGTTTTGTAAATATTAGGATTTGATTAATAAAGACTACATAAGGTGGGGGAAGGAGTATGCAGACTCTAGCTCGAACCTTCAAAGCAACAAAACTAGGAATTAAGAGTAGCTTATTGGTTAGTGCATTTCTACTCTTTTCAAGAGGTTGTACATTTGATTCTTCCCACCCTACTAGTGAGATCCTACCTTGGTTGATCTACATTAGTTGAAGAGGGAACGAAACATTTTTTATAGAGGTGTGGAAACCTCTCCCTAGCAGAAACGTTTTAGAATTGTGAGGCTGGTGGTGATACGTAACGAGCCAAAGTGGACAATATTTGTTCACGGTGGGCTTGGGCAGTTATAAATGGTATTAGAGCCAATCACTAGGCGGTGTGCCAGCAATGACACTGGACCCCCCAGAGGGTGGATTGTGAGATCCCACCTCGGTTGGAGAGGGGAACAAAACATTCCTTACAAATGTGTGGAAACCTCTTCCTAGTATACGTGTTTTAAACCGTGAGACTGATGAGGATACGTAACGGGCCAAAGTGGATAATATCTGTTAACGGTGGGTTTGGGCGGTTAGACTAGGCTACCTATGATGAAATATATTCTTATCAAGGAAAAAAGAAGTAGGATTAGAGGTGGATTATTGTGAATTGCTCAAAGTTGGTTATGGCTTTAGATTTCTCTTGGATAGATGCCCTAGCGAATCAAAGTTTAAAGAACCTAGTTCCTAAACTTTTAGGACTTTGGATCCCCTGAGAACCGGGGGAATGAATGGGCAACTTTGTCAAGGATGTTAACTTTGAGTATGACAATTTGAATCATGAACTTTTGATGCTGTAAATGTTTTGTACGATTGAATATGATTTGGATCATGAACTTTGAAGTTTATAATCATCTTTTATTTTGTAATCTTGAAATAACTCTCAGTTCTTAGTAAAGTGTAGAAAAATTCAATACTTAGTATCTTATTACTTTTGGTTGAAGAAATTTATAAGGTTCGAAGGCATGTTTGATACGATAAGGAATCAACTACAAGGGGAATAAGATTCGGATTACCTTGTTGATCGAATATCTCAAGGCAAGAACATTGTTTGAGATTCGAACCACTCCACAAGCAAGATCGATCATATCTAGCTTGAATGATTCTTGTTGATCAAATATCTCAACGCAAGAACACTTGTTTGAGATTCGAATCACTCCACAAGCAAGATTGATCATGTCGAGCTTGAATGATTCTACATGCAATCTAAACTACATAGAATTGCAAAGAAAATTAGTCATTGGCTAAAGAAAAGCACAAATGCTTCTTTTACTATATTTTCCCAGTCTACCTTACAAATACAACATACATGGCTTTATATAGCCTCAAAATGAAACTATTAAAGGCATTCCAAAAGTTGTAACATTCATACTTAATGACCATAATTAGCCATATGTAAATGTAACCTAAAGTAAATAAAATGTCTTAAAATACAATACTCTAAATTGTAACCCACCCAAAATTTATAACCATCAAACTTCATTCCTCTTCAATGTGACATAAATTGGAACCTCTTTTGATATTTTTGACAACATTTTCTTCACATCTTCATTGAAGTATATTGTATTAATGATGTCTCTTGGTTCATATCAATGTTTCTAACCAATCAAATCTAGTCTAGCTCAAGGAACCCTCATCAGGTATCTTGGTGATAGTATCGTCATATTATGAACCAACCTCCTCGTAGTCTTTGGCTTATCTCATTCACCAAATTGTAGATTTCTGTCTCGTTTGATAACGATTTTAGTTTTAATACCATCTCTTTACTATGGTCTTCCCCTCTCTTAACGAAACAATTGAACTCTTAGCTGAACTCTAAACACGAAAACTACTTTTAGCCCTCAAAACTTAGCGTGGATATCAAAAACCAAATAGTTAGAGATCGTAGAACAAGATTCTTGTCTTTACTTTGTCTCTTCTTTAGGAGTTTCAAGTTTCTATTACTTCTTTCATGATTCTTTTATCACCTAGTTTACCATTCTAACTTATAATCCTACTCTACCGTATCTATTTTGTACAAACGCGGTTCCTTAGATTAGTAGATTTACTTACTTTTCTCTCCAATTAACTTGAGAATCACCCATGTTACTTGAACACAATCTATTTATTTTATAGATCATTGCACATTTGATAGACGAGTCTATGACATATATCATTATGTCTTGTAAGTATGCTATATGATGCAATACGACGAGGATTCGTCAAAACCCAACGGATAGAATTTGTGATATTGATGGTGAATTACGAGAGGAGACTAAGTGTACTTGATTCCGAACATCATTTCATTGCTTGGTTGTGCTAAAAATGCTCTTAAAAAGACTGAATGTGGATGGGTTCTGATCAATACTTGGATGACTTGTGTGGACTCTTCTTTCATATGTTCCTTTCAAATGAAAATTGAAGACAATGCTTGTGAATAATCCAACCTCACATTTTATCTTTATGTCAAATTTAAGATGAGATTCATATAATCTTGGAATAAATTCTTCCACTAAAATACCATTTTAATTGGATAATCTTTGCTATTTTATAATTATTTTATTAAAAGCAAAGTTTTTTTTTTTTTAATTTTTGTATTGGAATAAGAATTTCCTTTCCACCTCACTAATAATTCATTCTCTCTAACATATATATATGGGAACAAATTAAAATAAAAAATCATGAAAAATGTGTCACTTTTTTATTTCAATTTGCCATATCAAAATATTAAAATAGCTAAACATAGACTAAACATTAATATTCCATCTTATCGATTCAAAATTTCTCAAAATTTTAATAAAAGTTATGTTTCTAAGATATTGTCACAAGAACAAGAATAAAAAGCTATTAGACATAGTTGTATAACAAAACCATTTATATTGTTAGTTTATTTTTAGTTTTTGTACTTTTAAACATGTCATAGTCGTAGTCGACCATGATGCAATATATATGAATAATAGAGCTTACAACATAATGAGGATTGCCCTAGTTGAATCGGGTAAACAATTTGACAAAGTGAAGATGAATATAAGGTGCTAAAAGATCGAAGGTTAGAGAAAACAATTAAGAGAAACAACCATTGACTCGTTGAGAAGTGTTGTAAGCTCGACTTGTTAGTTCAAGATCTGTCATAGAATCGCATGCCATACGGATGAGGATCATCTTTTGAGTCAAGAATGGATGAGCCAATATAGTTATCGTCTTAGGCTCAAGTGTAATATCATATATATCAACTATAAGATGTAATATCAAATTTACATTATCATCAAACGATATTGTAATAGTCCAAGCCCACCGCTAGTAGATATTGTCCTCTTTTTGCTTTTCCTTTCGAATTTCTTCTCAAGGTTTTTAAAACACGTCTGCTAGAGAGAGGTTTTTACACCCTTATAAAGAATTTTTCGTTCTCTTCCCCAATCGATGTGGGATCTCATAATCCACCCTCATTCGGGGCCCAACATGTTCACTAACACTCGTTTCTCTCTCCAATCGAGGTAGGATATCATAAATATAGAATCTATTAGACTCGATTGATACAACAAATATCAATGAATCAAATGAAATTACCGAGAGACAGAATCAACTAACTTATTGTAACGAAAGTATTCGACCCAAATCCAAAACGGTCGTTGTTTAACATTAAGGTATAAACTATGGCTAATCAATACTCTCAAGGCTGCAATTCTCAATATGTATCAGAAAAGAATAGATACATCAAAATCTATAAGTTCTAGTTGGAAATAATTAGTACATATTCCTTTGGTGGGTATCATCTACCTAATATGCTTTGTGGGTATCAATAATGGTGCCTTCTTCACATTTGGGATTAGTTCCCTTCCAATGCTTATAATTTACCACCACCTCAAAGCATACAATTCCCCACTTTTTGCTTCATTTTCAAGCCAAACACAATCCCAATAACACTCTAAACCACTCTTTTTTAAGCCTAAAAGCCAATCTTCTTATCTTCTCTACCATCCTCAGAGCTTGAAGGAAGATCTAAATTATTTGGTCTGACAGAAACAAGCATGTAAAGGAGTCAAAGAAAGTTACCTTGAAGCTTTTCCTTGAGTATATATATGATCCTCGTTGCTTTACTTTAGCAGGAGCCAGAATTGAAGATGAAGTATAATGAGATCTCTCACTTCAGCCACCCACAACACAAGCTCAAGTTTGAGTACTCAGAGTCTCCATTCAAGTGTGATGGCTGCAAGGAGGCTGGTATAGGCTCTAGCTACAAATGTACGGTCTGTGACTTCGACCTCCACGTGCATTGTGCTATCCCTTCCCCCTCTATCTCGCACCCTTTCTACACCAGGTGCTCCTTCCAGTTCATGTCTCACCCGCCCGGCAACATTTCTCGATACTGCAATGCCTGTGAGAAGGATGTCACTGGCTTCATTTACCACTGCAAAACTTGTGGTTTTGATCTTCACCCATGCTGTGCCAAGCTCCCGATGGCACTCAGTGACGGTGAAATCAAGCTCTACCTTTACAAGAAAGTGAGTTCATCGTGTCATAGGTGCGGACGGAAGGGAAGAAGCTGGTGTTACAGATCTTCTTGTAAGAAGTACAATCTACATGTAGCTTGTGTGAAAGAAATGCTTGAGGAAAGCTGGCATGAATTGTACTTTGGACGTGGGAAATCTACCAAATTGCAGACAAGAATTCCTAGTCTTAAGAATACTCTTCAGACTCATCATAACAAGAGCAAGGGCAAGATGAAGAGTTGTTGTGAGATGGCTGGTATGGCCGTCCAAACTGTTATATCCGCGGTGCTGGGAGATCCAACGGCTCTGATTGCGGGGGTCATCGGGGCCCTAATATCGGCAGCATGATGATCAGTGATATCAAGTCAGTTAGGATAGTATTAGGATCAGGCTTGTTTAGTATGGACTTGTTTGAATGATATCAGACCATCATGAATCTCATGATATCATTTAGGTGTAGCTAAAACTCCAAAAGCCTAACATGTTAACTATTTCTCTAGCCAAAAGAAAAAGAAATAGTAATTTTTCTTTCAAGAACTGAATTTCCAATGAATTCACATAATATAATCTAAAAAGGAAGTGTACCAAAAAAAGAAGATGAAGAAGAGAGAGAAAAGAAAAGAAACGCCACAAGCCTGCAGATTCTCCATCTTTAGCCCTGAACCTCTCATCTTTAGGCTAAGAATACATAATAATATGGAAGAGGGGTTTATCCAATCTTCTAGTTCAACCTTGTCGTAGAGATTCATCTAAAATATAAATTGTTCTAAGACATTCAAAATGATATTTGAATATGAACACACAAACGTAAATCGAGGGACACTTAATATATAAATATCTTTTTAAACTAAGCAAAAACAACTGTTCCAAGCTCATGGAGCATGAATATCTAAATATCGAAGAAGTCTGTCTTCATAATCTACAACATTTGATTATGCCTACTACTGAAATGCAATGACGGGTCAATTAGTCGTTCACCCCCGTCATTATGAGATCCTCATCGGTTGGAGAGGGGAATGAGAGGGGAACAAAACATTCCTTATAAGGGTGTGGAAACCTCTCTCTAGTAGACGCGTTTTAAAACCGTGAGGCTAATGGCGATACGTAACAGGCCAAAGCGGACAATATCTGTTTGTGGTGGGCTTGGGCTATTACAAATAGTATCAAAGTCAAACGCTGAGCGGTGTTTGGCCACCAAAGGGATGGATTGTGAGACCCCATCGTTTGGAAAGGGGAAAGAAGCATTCCTTATAAGGGTGCGGAAACCTCTCCCTAACAGACACATTTTAAAACCATGAAGTTGACGACGATACGTAATGGGCCAAAGTGGACAATATCTACTAGCGGTAGGCTTGGGCTGTTACAGTCATGCTCGAAAATATTTCCAAAATTTGAAAGCATACAAATACAAAAAATGTACCAACATACACACATATACATTTGTAAATATGCCTTCACTATTCATTTTATCAAGACCTTTCCTTTAAATTTTATCCTATTCAAATTTATATAAACTTAGAAACTTGCATTGATATGATGAGTCCTATACTGAAACAGCCCAATATCAAAATATCCTGGTTTGAAACAATTTTGATTCTGGGCCGTCCTCAAGTTCTTAAGGAAATGCTGGACACTTTTACTTTCAATATGGGGCCTTAATGGGTTGGTTTATGAGAAAAAAAGACAATATTCCAGAACGATGCATTCAACAAAAAAAAGAGATAGAATGAGAATGGAGAGAGAGAGTGACGAGGAAAAGGCAATATTCCAGAACAGAGGCATTCAACAAAGAAACGACAATCGTGTCAATAATAAAAAGGGTTTTGCTAAGTGTGAAAGGAACGTCTTAAAAGGGAACAATGAATATGAAAGAAAGAAAAAAGAGTTGGGCGTACTTCATATCTATAAAGAAGGGCCAAAAGTCTACCTGTTAATTGAATATGTTTGGGTCTTCTTTGGATTGCCTACACAGTATAGGTTGGAGATTTTTCCTGTAAGATGATGAATGAACACTTTTTTTTGGTCCAGATCCTTGTAAAAGTTGCTTTAAAATCTGCCCTACCTGATCAATACTAACTTTGAAACTAAGAAATTTAGACCCCATTGAACCATTTTTACTAACTAGTTAGAATCTTTTGAATACTGTAGAGAAATGATAGCAAATACTTCATGAGACAGAATCTGGATAGTATAATTCAGTACTGCAAGGAACTGTTACGACACAGCACGAGGCCCATCTCATTCTCCGTTTCAGTCCGAGAAGTAATTTGGTTGGTACAATTTTCAGTCAGCATTTGCCCATCTTCTTAATCTTATAACCAAACATGACACACGACAGTCACCCTTCTGTGGCACCATAATTCAAATCCATGACTATAAACATTGTCCTTTTTTATTTCTAGATGAGAGACAATTTCATTGAAGAATCAAAGAAGAAACAGCCTCGGGGCCAGGTAGAGATCACCCCTCCTGAGATCTAAAACAATAAGGCTTCCCAATTCAATTAAACAAGATAACACTGCAACATAACAAGCCCACCGCTAGTCGATATTGTCCTCTTTGGACTTTCCCTTTCGAACTTCCCTTCAAAGTTTTTAAACGCGTCTGCTAGGGAAAGGTTTCCACACTCTTATAAGAAGGATTCGTTCTCCTCTCCAACTAATGTGGGATCTCACAATCCACCCTCTTCGGGGTCAGTGTCCTCACTGACACTCGTTCCCTTCTCCAACCAACGTGGGACTCCCAATACACCCCCCTTCAGGATCTAGCGTTCTCGCTAGCACACCATCTGGTGTCCACCCCCCTTCGGGATTCAACTTTCTCGTTAGCACTTCGCCCAATATCTGGCTCTGATACCATTTATAACAACCCAAGCACACCGTTAACAGATATTGTCCTCTTTAGACTTTCTCTTTCGGGCTTCCCCTCAAGATTTTTAAACACATATGCTAGGAAGAGGTTTCCATACTCTTATAAAGAATGATTCGTTCTCCTCCTCATCCAACGTGAGATCTCACAAACACTGTGATTGCAAAATATTTTTGTTTTAACTAAAGGCGATGATATGTAGATATACACAAGAAAAAAAAAAGGCCAAAAGAAGAATTCTCATCTTTTCCCTGATTGAATATTAGCACAGTATATATGAGCATTGTCAAAATCCTGATACTGAGCTCCAAAAGGTTAATACTCAGTTGGGATGGAAAGTTACCAATTGTTGTCATTGTCAATGAGTGAGATACACGTTGAGCAGTCGGTTGGTCCAGAATGGGGCCTCCCTCCCTCTCTCTCTCTTTCTCCCTGTAGATAAAATGTCAGTGATGGCCCAGCTTCTGCACAGTAATGGTATCTAGCTGGAGCAACAAGGAAACTTCAAAAGGGAAAAGGATCATACCACATATTCAGTGCATTTTCCGCCGTTTTTATACGGTCTTATCATGGCCCCATGATTCACATGCCCTGCTAATCTTCTCTCAGTCTTCCTTGTATATAAATATATGGAATGATTCACTACGTACCAATCTCCTCCTCCATCCGACTCTTCCATTTCTTCAGAAAAACAAAAACTATGGGAGTTTGTGCCTCATCTCAGCACTCAAGCCCTAGCCTCACGAACTGGCCCTTCACAGCGAAAATCATTCATATAGATGGCAGGCTACAAGAATTGAGGCACCCAGTCAAGGCCAGCCACATTCTCAATCAAAACCCTAACTGTTTCCTCTGTAGTTCAGAATCTATGAAGATCAATTCAATCGTTCCACAAATTTCCAGCGACAGAGAGCTCGAATTGGGGGAAATTTACTTTCTAATCCCGCTTGCTAAATCCGATCTGCCGATCTCTCTCACAATCTTGTGTGCTTTGGCTGCCAAAGCAAATGTAGCCCTCGCCAGCTCCAAGAAGGCATATCCGTCCATGAAAGCGGCGCCGGCAGCCGTAGCGTACCGCATCAGAGCACCAGGAACGTCGTACTGAGATTCCGGCGAAATTGCTTTAACGCCACTTGGAAGAAGAACGGAGGCGACATTGTATCTGAAAGTCTTCAATTAATTTGAAATTTATGTAAATAATTTAATTCGACAAGATTAAAATAAATTATTGAAAAACATTATTTTTTTTTATATTCTTTTTTTTTTAAAAAAAACATAAAATAAAACATCATAGGACCAAACAACATGTGATATTGCATTATTGTTTCATTAACGTCTTCAAAAGTAGCACTAAAAAACTTCATCAATTATTGCTCGGGTCTTATCTATTTATTTTATACATCGTAAGATCTAAGTTATTGTAATAAATAAAATTAGATTTTATTCCGCAGATTTAAACTATATATTACACGTTATAACTAACGATCCAACTACCATGTTGGTACTCGATATTATGTCTTTTGGCATGTGAAATCATCCGACCCAATCGAACTTTATGCTTCAATTATTTAATTTTAATATATAAGGAGAAATATCCCATTTTAAAAATGTTTTTTTGACGACGTATTTCTATGAAGGATATTTTCGTCATTTTATATGTTTAAGCAAAACGATACCTAGTTAAGGTCAATCCATATGCTTATGATTTTTTATATTTATAACAGATGTTAATGATACGTTGTGACTTGTGAATATTTAGTTAGAAGTCACCAATTCGGTCCGTTGCTCACTAAACCTGAACTCGGATAGAACTGAATTGATTCTTAAAATTATAATTCAACCCGATCGAGCGCTTTTGAATTTAGAAACTACCGTACAAAACGTTTATTTAAACATGGTGAACATTGAGACATAAAAGGGTAAGGTTTAAGAGGTGGAAGAAGGCTTCATTTCAGCTTTAATGGCAGAAACCAATTGATCATAAGCCTCAGCCCATGCCTCTTTCATCTCCACACTCCACATCTCTGGAATTCCTTCCTTAATGGTCTCCAAAAGTGCATACTTCAACACCTATCACCCAAAAAAATCACTATTACGCTCTCGTTCGATCAAAATAACGATAAAGTTTAAGTTTCGAGATCGAAATAGAATCCGGGATTACCTCAAAATGTTCATCGACAACACCGTACTTGAGGTGCGAAGCACCTAGCCTCTTCAAAGTGGTTTCTTTAGCCGCCGCTATCCCTCCTTTTCGAAGCTGAACGGCTGACTCACAAGTCTATAATTCACACCAAAAGGTTCAAGATTCGAATCAAACACGATTCACTGTACGTCAATTTTTGTTCATAAACTCACCATAGTGAAGACACTCAACGCATGAGGCTTCAACTTCGTGTTTTGCTCCAACGGAACTTTCGAGTCTCTCAAAAACGAAAACAGGTTCTTAACCGACGGCGCAATTTCAAATATCCTAAGATCCAACAACAATTAAAAAAGAGAACAGTCAACTCTAGTGCATTGATACAAACCCTTTGAACGAAGAACGAAGAACGAGTATCTTACTTGAGGAAGAGTTTGAGGGCCAAATCAGCAGCATTCTTCTTCATGACACCCCATGACTTGACCACAAGGGCCTCTTGTTGTTCAGTGAAGACCCTTCCTTCACCACCACAGGTGCCCATGTCTGTGTTCTTATGAGCAAATTCATGTTTTGGTCACTCTATTTATGCATTAATCCAAATGGGTTTAGTTTATGGATCAAAGTTTTTAGCCCTTCGTTGAAATGAAAGGCCATGGGGATTTGCTTTTTGCTTCTTTGAATAAAATACAAAGCTACAGGGAGTTGTCTACCTACACTGCCAAATTTGTAGCTTTTTAATTGGGTTTCTCACACTAATCTTTTATTTGTGCTTGTTTTTTAATTAAAAATTTGTTTTGGATTGGACTCAATAGTCAAACTCCCGTTCGGCAATTAATTAATTATTTAATTTGACGGATTTTACAATCCACCTCTTTCACATAAGAGTTGAGTGTCTTTGCTAGCACACTGTTTGGTGACCTCACATAAGATTGACATAAGAGTTCAGTGTCTTTGCTAGCACACTGCTTGGTGTCTAGCTCTGTAGCTCTGATATCATTTGTAACAACTCATGTTCACTGCTAGCAATTGACACACTACTCGGTATCTAGCTCTGATATCATTTGTAACAACTCATGTTCACCACTAGTGATATGAACCAAGAAACATCAATCATACAATATGCTTCAATGAAGATGCGAAGAAAATATTGTTGAAATTATCAAAATATTTTTCAATTCATGCCACGTTGAAAAAGAATGAAGTTTCATGTTTATTTTGAATGGATTACAATTTAGAATAATTTTGAGTTAGAATTTCATTAATATTTTAAGACTTTTAATTTAATTTAGATTACATGGTTAAATATGAATATTACTGCTCTTGGAATGCCTTTTAACTGGCACACCGTTCGGTGTCTAGCTCTGATATCATTTGTAACAATTCAAGCTCCGCTAGCAAATATTGTCTGTTTTGGTCCGTTATGTATCGTTGTCAGCCTCACGCGCTTATTATTTTTTATAATATTAATTTGCATAGTAGATGTAACCACTCCTTAAAATATTGATTTCTCTCTGATTCTTTCACCATTTTTTCACTTCAGTCCCTAGGCTTTTTAAATTTTCAATTTCAGTCAATTTTTATCAACTTTACATCTCAATCTTTTATTGGGAATTTAATTTACAGCCCTCCAACTTCTATTAAATTCCAAACCAGCCCCTATCATAAAAGGATTATTATTCTACCTTATCGAAAATTAACCACATCCATAGTTCACATCTGGTTTTACCACAGCAGAAGAAAATGGAACTTCAATTCTCTCTTTCACCAAACACCTCTCCTCCCCGTCTTCCACAACCAGGATTTTCCCCAGCGGGCACCGAGTTCTCGGTCTCTCGTCTTCTGTCGATGGCTGTTCGATCGCACTGGATTTCATCAAATGAGTAGAAGCTCTTTTTACTACGATTCGTGGCCCGAAACCAGATATGCTCATTATGGTCACAACACCAACAATGGTGAACACTGCCTTGGCTGCTGCAGCTACGAGTGAACCGAACCCGTTCCTCCTTGAGTTTCTCGTGCTTGCTTGTTTGTTGGTCGTCAACGACTCGCTTGACTCCCTTTCCGTGTCGTTTTTCATGTAGCTTAAGGATACCCCATTATGGGCAGCTTTGCGAGCAGACAAGGATGGTAATAAATGGCCATTGTTTAGGTGGAGAGGGAATGGAAGACGGCTTGGGTATGGAGGAAGCATGAAGTCATGGTTGTTCTTTACTGCCTCCCCAGCAAAGGCAGAAGCTTCATTTATGACTTCCAAATGCTCCCCTTTGTACTCCTTGAGCTTGTCGAGTAGCATCTTGCGGTTGTGTTCGATCTCGCTGAGGGCAGCTTCCCGTTCGTATCGCTGTTGTTGTTGTAAATCCTTAAAATGACAAGTGAAACAACATTAATTTTAGCTGGAAGTGTTACATCGTATAATGTACAGCCAAAATCTAACGCTAGCAAGTATTGTCCTCTTTGGGCTTTCCCTTTCGGGCTTCCCCTCAAGGTTTTAAAACGCGTCTGGTAGAGAGAGGTTTCCACAGTCTTATAAGAAATGCATCATTCCCCTCTCCAATCGGTGTGGGATCTCACAATCCTCCCTCCTTAGGGGCCAGCGTCCTCGCTGACACACCTAGAGGCACTTGTGAGATCCCATATCGGTTGGAGAGGGGAACGATGCATTCTTTATAAGGCCGAGGAAAGCTCTCCCTACCAGACGCGTTTCAAAACCTTGAGGAGCCGTGGGTTTGGGCTGTTACATATAATTATATAGCTAGTTATGCAAATATATTCAACGAACATTACATCGTCCCGGAGTTTTATAACCAGTAACGAAACAGAACATAAACCTAAGGATTATTCTGACATAACCTGAATTTAGTACAATTATATCTGCTCGGGTTTCTGACGCATATGTGAGAACAAAGCAAACAAGAAAAGACTGGTGCTTCTAGCAACAACCTATCTATATAATAAAAAACTTCCATTGATTATATCAACAAAACAAGGTTTACATCAGTGGTGGTCAATGATAATCAAATTAGGCAAAATTTCGTGACATTCTCATAGTTTAATGTTTTCTCTTGATAATTGCTTCGAATTTCAAGATTGCCATCCAAGTTTTAGAAACATTGAGAACTGACAAACAAGGAATAATTACCATAAAAATATGTTTATAAAACTAAAAAACAAAAAATGAAAAAGTGGGAAATCCCACGTCGGTTTGAGATTCCTCGTAAGCATGTGGAAACCACTCCCTAGTAGACGCGTTTTAAAAACCTTGTGGTGAAGCCCGAGGCCCTTAAGGGAGGGTGGATTGTGAGATCCCACGTTGGTTGAAGGGGGTGTGGAAACCTCTTCTTAGTAGAGGTGTTTTAAAAACCTTGAAAGGAAGCTCGAGACCCTAAAGGGGGTGAATTGTGAGATCTCACATCGGTTGGAGAGGAGAACGAAGCATTCATTACAAGGGTGTAGAAACCGCTACTTAGTAGACATGTTTTAAAAAACCTTGAGGGAAGCCCGAAGCCCCTAAGGAGGGTGAATTGTGAGATCTCACATTAGTTGGAGAAGGGAACGAAACATTCCTGAGAAGGGTGTGGAAACCTCTCTTAATAGAGGCGTTTTAAAAGACCTGAAGGTGAAGCTCGAGACATGCTAGGTTCGATATAAGACAATATTTGCTAACGGCGGGCTTCGACTTGTTACAAAAAGTTGCCATATGACCTCTAAGCTTCTTTTCCCCAAGAGACAAGCTAAATGGCCACACATACAGCCACCAAATATTTCAAAGCTAATCCTATAGCATGAGTTGAAGTTCAATTCAAAGCACAATGACTCTAACCATGGGATTAAAGATAAAAGTTCAGAGCAGTCCATAATCATAATGGTTTTGTACAGAGTAACAAGGAAAAGACAGACAAAGACAGAGAATATGCTTAGCTTTACAATTCCAAAGGCCAAAATAGTTCAATACAATTCATATAACAGGAAAAACATTAAGAAAATGCAAGCAAAGCATGTTTGAACAATAACAAAGCAAGGAACAAGGTCTCATTTGGCAGAACAAAGCAATTCAATAAGTAGTTTCAAAGCTCAATGAAAAGGAAGATCGTTCTAAATTCAGCAAAAGTAGACAAACAATCTCTTGGCTCAAGAATATGAGAAAATGAAGAACAGAAAAACGAAACCTAGATCAGAACAATCATCATATGATACAATAAAAGCAATTCAAAATCAAAAGCAGCACAAAATCACAGACCAACAAATCAAGAAACATGAAAGAACAGAAAAAAAAAAAAAAAAAAAAAA